ACTTTTGGTCCCTTTACAAGTGGGAGGCACATATGCAAACTGTTGTAATTCCTACACCGTTAGATGTACATTCCCTCAAATTAAAGCTGACAGTTTGCAGTTAACGCACATTGTGTTTGTTTCATTCCAAATCCATTGTGGTAGTATATAGAGCCAAAGATGTTAGAATTGTGTCGATGTCCCAATATTTCTGGACCTGACTGTATATTTCTCTAGTTTATCTTCCGCTTCCAAGTAAAATAAAACAGGGCAAGATTCCTATTCTTAACCAAGTATTTGCCAGTGTAGCTCCATGGATGGGTCTTGTATTTCTCTTGTACTTAATTAAACTGTTTGCCTGTTAATCTGTTTGCTATTCCTTTGTAGTTAAAAAAGTGACTCCCAAATTTGAGGTATAATTAATTATGCTGGTTCTGGAATGCATGGGAGTAACAATTCTCATGGAATGGTTAAAATAATCTATTTTTTATTTTCCCCCAATACCTCCTGAAGTGGAAGATAATGAGAAACAAGAAGTAAATGACTTAAAGTTGCCAGTTATGGCAAACTATCTCACCAATGCATCTTTTCCTTGCACTTACAATCAAGAAAGGGATGGTGTTCTTCATACTTCTGCTCCACCCAAAGAAATAAATGCCGCCATACCTCATTTATCTGCTGGTGAACCTAGCCCTTGTTTTTCAACAGTTCAAGCAGAAAACATTTGCACACCCATTTCTTTGCACAAGGAAACAGAACTCCTTGGGAAACACCTTTGGGACAGGGACCTCATTTCACCCATTGTTGCAGAAGCTTCGGAAGATATAAAGTCTAGAATTCAGAACTGCTGTCCTGCATATTCTTCATCTACACGTCGCAACAGAGATCACTTGACTTCAAGCCTATCTAGACAACATATACCTAACCAAACAAATGGTGCCACAGTGGGTGCAGGGCCATCGTTACAGCCACTGGTTGTCACTGGAACTATTCCATATACTATACAAGGTACTGAAAAGCTTTCTTTTCACTGCAGTGTTTATTTTTCTTGCTATGTGGACATGGTTCTTAGCCACCTTTTTCTTCCAGAAAATGGTCAGAGCTTCATCAAGATAAGAACACAGTTTCTGTGTTCAGAAATTGAAATCCATGCTTTACACTCACTGTAAAACAAGCTGGTTGCTTGTCATAGGATGGCATGTGGGAAAGGAACTTTTCCCCAAATTATTGTGGAAGTGCTTGGAGGCACTTGGAGAAGTTAAAGGAGCGCTGCTACTGTAGCAGAGGAAGTTCTTGCAACCCAGAAAATTCTTGTTGGATTATAGTTGGCACACATGCAAACGCACATGTAGATTCAGCATTGATTTCGTCTTTCGTTTACATATGAGTTAAAGCTGTAGTTCACGTAGGAACTGAAAGTAATGAACAAAATACCTAGGCTGGCTGCCTTCAGTAAGAATCGTATCATGTGCCTTCCAAATCTGCTGAGTTTGACCGCAAGACAGCTACCTGTCTGAAAGAGCTAGCTGGCTGACTGGCTGATTTTAAAATCCAGTTGCTCTGAACTTTGATATCATAAATTCTGGGGCTTAGACAATCTGCAGAGGTGGACATTTTTAGCAGGTTTGCTCTTCATCAGGTAGGCAAGCAGCCGTTACAAAGCAAGGGGATTGGATGGGCATTAGGAGAGGCAGCATAGTTCTAGGTGCCCAGGAAGCCTTTGGAGTTACAGACAGTGAATCTCTCTTCCCTTTGTCAGCAACCTTATCATCCATCTGCCCTAACCATCAGCACTACATTTCTGTCTTCATTTTCCTGTTACATGCTTGTTAAAAAGGTAGTCTGTCTCAAATGAAGCTTGACCCCCAGTGACACAGGCTGGTCACTTGGCAAGAATACAAAAGTGGTTTGCCATTTTCTTCTTCTGGGATGTCCCCCCCTCCCCTGTCTCCCCAACTTCCCAATCTAGTCTACAGTTGATATCTTCTGGTAATTCTAATGGGCTGGAGCCACTTCTACTAATTTGCCCCCAGGTCCATAGTTGCAGAGAAAGGTCTGTTAAAAAATTGCAACACAGATGCTTATATAGAAAGGCTGAGCCCTATTCAGCTCTCAAAAGTTAGAATGAATTCCAGGGTTCAGCATTTATTATTGTTACCACCAACTTCTGTTGGTGCAAAACCTAAATATAAATATTGACTATTATGTTGTTATTTTGGGGGGGTTGAGTCAGTGTTGACTCCTGGTGATTTCCCGGATCAGTCCTTGCAGTTTTCTTAGCAAGATTTTTGGAAGTGGTTTGTTGTTGCCCTCTTCCAAGGGCTGAGAGAGAGCGACTGGCTCAAGGTCACCCAGATGGCTTTGCCCCTAAGTGGGGACTAGAACTCACGGTCTCCTGGTTTCTAGCCTGGTGCCTTAACCGCTACACCAAAGTGGTTAGTAATAAAATTTTGTAAAATGGCATACTTTAAAGAAAGTGATTTGGGGATCGCACAGAATTTATCACTTTAGTTTCCCTACTTGTAAATGAGCATTTACTTCATGTAAATATATATGTTTTCCCCCATATAAACATACAGAATTGGTGCTTAAAGTAAGAGTTCAAAATCTTAAAGAAAATGACTTCATTGAAATTGAACTGGACAGAAAAAAGCTGACTTATCAGGATCTGCTCAGGGTGTGTTGCTGTGAACTGGGAATTAATTCTGAACAAGTGGAGAAGATTAGAAAATTACCTAATACGTTATTAAGAAAGGTAAAGACTACGATTTTCTTTTAAACATTTATTTGGTGACATCTGTTGAAAATGGCTCACCATCCAAAATAGTACATAAAAGACATGGAACTAGCAGACATTATTTATCGTGACATACAACTGATAATTTATACTAATTAGGTAGCTAGCACAGAAAGAATTAACATCCTATATTTTAATGTGTTGCTTTCTAAAAAAGGCTTTAGGACCAGTTCAGAGTTCCTCATGCATGTTAACAAGCTGCACATATACTACTGTGTGCAAGAATATTCCTTACCAAGATAATAATAATACAAGAAGTCAATTTATTCCTCCAAACAGCAGCTAGACAAGATCCTTTGCTGTGTTTATGTGCATGAGCACGTTTATGAATCATAGGAAGATATTTGAGTTTTCCTTTAACCTGTTCTTTTGGCATGAAACCCTTCAACATTCTTAGTACTCTGTTACTCTCAGGAAGTGAGCGTAACATGTAGCTTAAGTTAGCACAATTTACAGAATAGTATGGTGCAATTCTGGCTGGAATCAATCCAAAGACAGGTAAGAGTTCCACACCATTGAGAAATTGGATGGTGCTCAATTGGGACAGAAGTAATGCTTAATATTTATGGGCATCTTCCAAATAATGAGCCTGCTTCATATACATGCAGTTATTTATGCAAGAGTTGATCAATTAAATGTGGGTTTATATGGAATTCAAGCGCTTGTTGCAGTTCGCCCACCTGAATAGTGCATTAGAACTTTTTTTTCTCTGACACTATTACCGTATGTAAAGTTTCTATAGAGGACTGAAGCATGAATCAATAGTTTTTGCTAAGAATTGTACCAAGCGCTTCTTGCTTTTGGTCAGCATAAAGAGGAGGAGTACAGGTGTATCCCAAATGAGTAGCCCAGGGAGCTCCAATAGTTAGTTGCTATACCTGTATTAGCAAGGTCCAGGAAAACAAAACCAAACAAAACCAAACAAAAACTTTGTACCAGAGAGGTGGGAAGGCCTGTGTGGAATCTGCTGTTCACAGATCTTCTATCTGATATGTACAGGTAGTAGCTGAGATAAGATTCAGTTATGGATTCTTGCAAAAACAGCCATTTCTAATAAACGATTGTTTCATTGATTTTAGCATTATGGGTTTAATTAGCTTGAAATCGATGTTGGAAAATATTTTCCTAAAGCAGTTAAAAAAGTGTAACAAATCAAGCTTGAATCATAAAGTGTTTTAGGTGAGCAACCCCCCCACTTGTCTCAGTCTTCTCTCTCACTCCCAGCTTCTGCCAGTGCCCTTGTCTGATTCCAACTGTCCCATGCTCCATCCTCAATCACTCTTGAGGGTCTCAGCTCCCTGAAGCAGTGTTAAGAGTACACAAATGAGTGCATGTATACGCACGCCCACAGGAAGTACTTTGTAACTATAGCCAATAGAGCAATAGAGAGGACAGGGGATGGAAAATCAAAGAAACTGCCTGAACTGAAACTGCTATGCTTGTTTCAGCAGAGCAAAAAGTTGGGAGCATGGAAATGGTTGGCAGTTCCAAGGCTGGTCTACTTCTCCCCCTACCCTCATTATTCTCCCTGATCAGGGAACAAAAGGACCGTTGCACCCAAATGATACATATTATTTGTCTGACCTTACAATGCCCTTTGCCCCTTTTACTGTTGAAGCAGCGTAACAAGACTTTGACCCTGATTATTCTACTGATAGGTCTGCAACCTCCTGGGTTCTACAGGAATATGCCTGTTTATGTGTATAGGCATATCCAAAATAATATTGGCTGGCTTGCTTCTTACATACATACGTATAACCAAATATTTTTGGTTACTTCTTATACAGGTAGTCCTCACTTAATGACTGTTTAGTGACTGTTTGAAATTACGATGGCAATAAAATGTGACTTATGACTGGTGCTTGAAGTTACAACCATCACAGCACCCCTGCAGTCATTTGATTGCGATCTGGGTGCTTGGCAACCAGCTTGCACTTACGATGGTTGCAGCATCCTGGGGTTACATGATTGCCATTTGTGACCTTCCCAGCCAGCTTCTGGCAAGCAAAGTCAATGGGGAACCATATGACTCACTTAATGACCAAGGTGATTCACTTAATGACTGCCATAAAAAGGTTGTAAAATTGGGTACAGTCACATGATTCACTTAACGACTGCATCACTTAGTGGCCTAAATTCTGGTCCCAATTGTGGTCGTTAAGTGAGGACTACCTGTAGTTAACTTTAGTTAACTCATGCTGTAAGCCAAGGAGCTGAACTACCTTTTTTGCAAGATTTCATATTTGTCTCATCTTCTTAGGATTTGCAGACTAAGTAAAAATAGAGCTGTATGCAAGCAAGCTTCTCACACAGGATTTCCTATCCCTTGTTTTAATGACACCATCTTCAGTAATTGGCTGGGTTTATGCATTGAGCTATGATTTGCTTAAGCAACACTGATTCAGTTATCCAGGTCCATCTAACATTGTAAGTCGTATAGAGCTGCCAACATGGCATCCCCAATAAATATGAAACATATGACAAAAATCTCATGAGATTTGTATGTGAAAATGCTGAAATGTTACAAGGTTTTGGGACTTTCTTGTGAGACTTTCACAAGATTTGGATGATTTGGAGGGGGATTTTTCACACTCTGGTCATTTCATGAAGCTACCTAAGGCCTGAAAATTGTCAATCCCTACTATAATTTTAGTATGTGAACCAGAATAACCACATTCCTACATGCTAAGCTCAGATTGAACAAACTGCATAGTTTAACAACTTAGTGTGTGATTCTGGTAGCTCAACAATATATGTAGAGTACAGCACATATAACTCCAGCCTATAATGCTCCATTCCTAATGGAGAACTTGCACTGATTGACAAGGTATAAAATGAAGCCATGACATGCTCAGTGCTCTCAGAATAGACCTTGCAATTGGGATAATCCATTGATATAACTTTTAACTGTATTCATGTTTTTTAGTATGTTGTAAGCCGCCCAGAGTCCCCCATTGTGGGGAGATGGGCGGGGACAAATTAAATAAATAATAAAATAAATAATAATATTAAGTACATTCAGCTGAGTACATTTTGCATCCCTCTTTAGAACTTCACACCCAACATATAATGGTTCTAGGAAAGTGGTGGGAAGAGGGCTTGGCATAACACCATTTTTTTAGTTTAGTCTGTAATATGTATTAGTGTAATAAATATGGAATCCTTCCTAAAAGAACATTTTTCATTAACTGAGATTCTTAAGGTAGTATTAAAATAGTCCATCATCTTGATGCAGTCTCTATCACCTGTTTTATTATTAGTTTTCACAGTATGAAACTGCTTTAATTATTTAAAAAATATTATTTCCTTTCTCCTCCAAGGATAAAGATGTGGCCAGGCTTCTGAATTTTCAAGAGCTGGAGCTAGTTTTAGCGAGAAGCATCACTTCTCCTTTCAAAAATGCTGCAGCAACAACACTGAAGGAAAGATCTTGCTACAACACCAAAGCAGCCAAGCTGACATATTGAAGTATAGGATTTACAGGCAGAATAGTGAATATTCTATTTTAAGCTATTTTATTAAAATTAATTTTTAAAGTTTCATATTATATTTTCAGTTAAGAAGCAATATTTCCTTTGTGTTCGTACTTAAGATTAGTGGAGTTAGCACTAAGTTCCTAATCAATTTAAGTACTGTAGAAGTCTCATGTATAATCTATCGTAACTACCCACCCCACCTGCAAACAAAAAACCCTGCTTATATGACTAAAATAATCACAGCTATTTCCTTAGCAGGTTCTTGTTCCCTCAGTCAGTCTATCCTGTCGGCATCATATGTTTAATCCGTTATACTCAGGAAAAGATACCACAGAAAATATTTGTATTCTAGCGGTTACTGGTCCTTTTCATTAACAATACTGTAATGTTAAAAATAATTTCAATTTAAATGCCTGTAAGATAGATAAACAGAACAGAAAACATATTATAGCAGGGAAATCTTTAGTATTGCTTACGCACTCTTCCTTAGAAATTCATAAAGTATTATTTATACTTTTCTCCAATTTAATAGTTCTGATGAAACAGGATTAAAGCTTTCTCTATTAACTTCCATTCCATAATAAAGTTGACTATTTCAGAATATTAAAACTTTTTAGATTTTAATACTGTGTTTGCTGTATGAGATTTATGATTGAAATGAAAGCATAGCAGTAATTCATATATGGTAATGTTGTGCTCATCTGCCAAAGTATCCCATTCTCAATAGCTGCAGTGAAAGAAAGAACACACTGGTTTGCTCCCAATGTAATTACTTGCTGTTGAATTCTTTTGGGCTGGGTTTGCTACCCAATCATTTTGCTATGTATATGAGTCAAAAGAGTCACAAAATTCGCTTGTGTTTTTACTAGCTATGTATATGGCTACTGTACTTCCAAAGTTATACATGTAAACTCTGATTTTAGAATAGGACATTTTAGTGTTTTTGCCTCCCCTGAAAAAAAAGTACGCCCCAGATTTGCTCCAAAGGGGTTTTCCAAAAGAATAGAATGATTGGATGTATCCATTGGCATTATTGACATATGTTGCTCTTGTGCACGATACATATGCAGTCTAAACAGTACGCTTCCACATGCTGTCTCTTTTTGCTGAACCTGTTTTCATCAACAATACACAGATCAGTCTATTGCATAAATATTTAATGTATTGACATGTAGTCACAAAGCCTCTAACAGCTTAGAACCCAGATTATAAATACTGCCTTCCCCCAACTTGGTGTTAAGAAAGATTACAATAGTTAGAAAGGCCTTCTTGTGGTCTACTGGTGGGTTGATTCACTGGTAGCTCAAGGGATACTTGGCTATCTGTATATTAGTTGTTTTTAAGAAAAAGAACCCTGAAGACACACCTTTATACTCAGGCATTTGTAGGTTAAGGATTACTCTAGAACCAAAGCGTCTATAATTTTACTTTTCTATTTTTTAATGAATGTTAATCGCTGTATTTTTTTTTTTGTTCATAAGGATTTATGGGTTTGTGTAAGACTTTAAAAAAATTATTCTCTGATAAACTTCTATGGACTTTCTGGTTCTAACTTCCTTCTAATCAGAGGATAGGGAATAGAGAAGAATGAGCTTGAACACACTGATGTGGAAAGAAGTCTATTTAATATTAAACACTCAATGACAATCAAATGTGTAACAGAAATTCATAGATACTTTATTTCCATTAGAATATATCAAGAAGCTATATATAGCTTGGCTGTAAAAATGGGATTTGTTTTAATCTCAGTCACACAAATACTAAACATTTACTTTTGTATTTCGTAGTTCAAGAATGAAAACTTGCAATTAAACACTGAGCAAGCCATGTGTTCAGGTTATGTTGGTTTATCATCTTAAAAGTCTTATAGGAAAAAAAATGATAAAAAGACTTAAATTCTCAGTAGCTTGCTTATTAACTTCTTTGTATTCTGAGATGTCATAACAGTCCTGAATTATTATTTTTTTAATTAAAAAAAAAACAATCTAACCGAACTTTAATTTTTTTCTATGCCACTACAGCTTTCTTTCACCTCATTTTAAAGCAGATCTTCGTATTAAGCAGTCTTCAGGATTCTTCGCAGGCTTGTCACATGGTTGTCCTATAATGCAAAAATGTTGGGAAGAGAGAGTCAGATCATGTGGACAGAGGTGACTTGTTTTGCCACTCCTACTGCCTGTTTGCTGCCCGCTCTACTTTCAAAACTCTTTTCATCAATACACTTAAAGCCCCTATGTATGTGACAGAAAAGGACAAAAATGATAGCACAATTCACCAATCAGTGCTGTTGGGAAGCTTCATGTATTCCATGGGGGTTCAGCTGCAAATATGATTAGAGATTGAACATCAGTGCTTGGAGGACTGCACCCCTTAAGTTTACAAACCTATGCGTACTTATCTGGGAGTAAGGCCCATAAAACACAATGGAATTTACTTCCGTGTAAACATGCATAGGCCTGCTCGGTAATTGGCTAGCAGTTCTTAGAAGTGCTGCAGCTATGCTGTAAGGGAAATGAATGCTCGGCTGCTTCTTTTATTTGGGTCTATTCTTTAAAAGGAACGACCCTGAAAAATCATGTCAAGAATAGGTGATTTATATTTAAATTGAGTTCCATTTAATGAAGCAATGTGAATATTCTTGCCAGTTATATATACCTACTGAGTGTTCCTGACATTGGCCTTTATTTCATTTGCCTCCCAAGTCTGGTATCAGCCAGTAATATATTGCTGTGTGCCATGGCTGCCTGGCAATTCTCCTACGCAGTAGGAAATTATAAACACATACCTCTTAAAGACTTGAAATGCATTGAATGTAACAAGGCGGTTATTAGGTAGTATTTATTGCATTTAATACTCTTTAAAGATATCTAATTCTGGGCAGCACTGCATCCCTACACACAGTTGAAAGAAAATGCCGATCAAGTTAATATCAGGTTAACAATTTCCACGAAATATTCACAAAGATTCCTTTTCACTTTTTGTAAATAAAACACACAACAGTAAGCTTAAAGATTACAGGCAACAGCATTCAAACATGGATGTGGGTAGAGAAAGGAGTACCTGGCATGAGTACCTGCTTAGTTTGACTGAATCCTTGATTTTTAATTTGGCTTTTCATGGGCCGCTCACAACACCAACGCTGTGTGAGGTATGGTAGTCAGCTGCAATTATTCATAAACCCTACACTTCCATCAATCCAATGCTACTGGCTCTCGAGTTACAGAACAAACTGCATTAGAATGCAAGGCAAAGCAAAAAAACTAGAAACATCCTTGACAAAGAAATACTAGCAGTTTATATAAAAACAAAATAGTCCAATATGTGCCTCAAATATTAAGAATTAAAGCAAATGTTTCTGATGCACCAACACAATATGGACTTAATTACAAAATCAGATCAAGTGTTAAAAAAGATAACAAATCCCCTAAAAATAAAAATAGGATAATTAAATTCTATGGTGACTATAATTACAAATATGTTCCCAAGAGGCACACTAAAGGGGATATGAGTCTGCTACAAAATAGCCGATACAAAACAATGTACCTCAAAAGATTTTGCAGGACTACACTGTGTTTTCCTTCAGAAGTTGCTTTAGTATCTCTTCTTACTTGTCTTAGCTCCATCTTCATCTGTACATACTTACGCTGCACTGTTAAACAGTAACAAAAAGCCCTAATCAAAGTTTGAAATAATGCACTTACCTCTGTCTGATCTGAGGTCATATCAGATCAGTTTTAATTGGACTGAGTGTCACCTTCAGATTTAATGTCTTCACTGGTCCCATTGACCTCATTCTTAGCATCGCCTTCCTTGGAGTCCATGCTTGTGTCTTCACTCTGTTTTTCTCGACTACTGGACTTCACACTACTTTTTTTATCATCAGATCCCCTCTTTTCTGCCATGAAAGAAGACATTGACCATGGACTTCACAGTAATCACACACATTTTTTCTGGTGTGAAGTATATGCTGAGACATCAACTTCAGCTACAAAAGTACATGTTGAGATATTAGCTAGCTGTAAAATTTAGTGCTGTTAAAGGAGCTATTCCTTCAGAAAGAACAAATGCTGAGCTCAGGAAGGTGGACAGGATAGCAAGGAGGGGAGGCAGTTACTGCTTCAGTTACACTGCAGGAAGCAGTCATTTGTTTGATAGTTTGTATCAAAGACATGGCCTACTTATATGCTATCTAATCCAAATTGTCAACTTTCAAGATATTTAGCATAAAAATATATATGAACCAAATCTTACCACACTTAATCACTTAAATCTAGTTCAGACCAAAGTATTACATGAGACTTGTTTCTAAGAAACAACACCAATAATCTGTGGAAAGAATGACCATATTTCTAAAATGTTATCTTAATAGACTGGTGGCTGAGAGCTCAAAAACAACCTGGCGTAGCTAAACATGTAGATAAAGCTTCCTGTCCTTTAGGAACATACAGATCTAAGTCTTCAATATGGCTATTTAAATCATCCATGCATATTACTGTCTTAGGCTTAACAATGTCATTTTTATAAAGTAATAACATGCTAATTCTTTCAATAATCAGTAATTTTGGTGACAAGCTTTCCCAGAAGTAGCCATAGATTCATGTACAGCCCCCAACTGATAGTGATTGCTTCCTCTTCACTGTCTTCCACAGCCCATCCCACCTCTTTTACCTTTATTTGCCTGCTATGCCCCATCACCTCACCAACAGCTGAGGAGTGTCTCCCTATATGCACCATTGCCAGGAAGAGAGAAAGCAGACTGTGTAGATCATCAGGCTGATATTTTAATAATCCATGACTGCGGGGAGCAAAAAAAGTAACCTTCAAAGCAGTAATAGGTTTGCTATTTTCATCTTATTGGCAAATCTGTACCTAATTTTCACATGCAAAACAAATACAAGTTATGGCTTGGCAGTTGTATTTAAACCAAGATTAAAAACTCAATAGGATCTTAAAAAAAAAACAA